TACGGCTGTTGAGACTTACAGAGCCTACATGGTGTTCATAGGGCATGTTATATGGGCCTAATTTACCCTGTATACTCGGGGAATTTTTTTGGAAATCCTCTCAGGAGGAGAATCTACACATATATATATATATACATATATACGCTAACCCTATTCAGGTATTTTTTTTGCTGTGACATAGCCATATCCTTATAAAACCGCAATTAACCTTCTCAAATGAGCAATTTTTTTGGAAACCCTTTACTGGGTATATTAACCACTTTGCCTACCAGGCACTTATACCCCCTTCCTTACCAGGCCAATTTTCAGCTTTCAGCGCTGCCGCAGTTTGATTGACAATTGCGCGGTCATGCAACATTGTACCCATATGAAATTTTGATCATTTTTTTCTCACAAATAGAGCTTTCTTTTGGTGGTATTTAATCGCCACTGGGCGCTTTACTTTTTGCGCTATAAATTAAAAAAAGTGCAAAAAATTTGAAAAAAAAAAAAAAGTTTATTTGTTTCTTTTATAAAATTTTTCAAACAGGTATTTTTTCTCCTTCACTGATTTGCGTTGATGAGGCGGCACTGATGATGGGCAACTGATAGCGGCACTGATGGACACTGATAGGCAGCACTAAAGGGCACTGATAGGCAGTACTAATGAGGTGGCACGGATAGGCGGCACTGATAGACAGCACTAATTAGGGGTCACGGATAGGGGCGGCACTGATATGCAGCACTGATAGGCGGCACTGATAGGTGACACTGATGATGGGTACTGATAGACGGCACTGACTGGCATCACTTCTTAATGGGCACTGACTGGCGGCACTGACTGGCACAACCCCTGAGGGCACTGACTGGTGGCACTGACTGGCAGCACTGCTGGGCTGCACTGGTGGGTGGCACTGGTGGACAGCACTGGTGGGTGGGCACAGGTGGGTGGCACTGGTGGCACAGGTGGGTGGCAACTGGTGGGCACAGGTGGGTGGGCACAGGTGGGTGCACTGCCTGGGCACATGTAGGTGGGCACTTTGGGCACAGGTAGGTGGCACTGCAGAGTGGCACAGGTGGGTGCACTGCTGGGCACAGGTGGGGGCACTGCTGGGCACAGGTGGGGGCACTGCTGGGAATGGGTGGGCGGGGCTAGTGGGCGCACTGCTGATCGGAACTTGCGGGGGTCACTGCTGGGCACCGATCATCAGGGCACTGATCATCAGTGCCCTGATGATCGGTGCCGATCCCCGCTCTGACAACTGCCGGTTCTCGGCAGTACTTTCCTCACGATCTGACAGCGTGAGGAAAGTGCAGGCCGAGAACCGGCACTTGCATTTTCCTGTGATCAGCGTGTCATTGGACACCGCTGATCACGTGGTAAAAGGCCGGTGGGATCGGCTTTCACCACATCACGTGATCAGCTGTGTCCGTAGGACACAGCGATCACGGAGATCGCCGGGTGCGCGCCCCCTGGGGCGCGCAGGGAGAGCGCGTTCTGGGAGGACGTCATATGACGTCCACTCAGAACTGGCCGGCCGCGGTGAAGCCGTTCTTTCGGCTATGCGCGGTCGGCAAGTGGTTAAATTCAGGTATTTACGGCCTGCTATATGCTATATACACACTATATGTGTTTGAAATCTACGCATCGTGTATACCTGGTCCCTCACCCCCATATGCATTTTTGGAAAAGCATCAAGGACTGATCTTAGTTCAAGTCGACAGGAGTCTCCTTGATCCTAATTGATGAATCATTTGGTACTGTGGACCTTGTTCCATTTGGGGTGGCTATCCAGGAAGTCCCTACATTTGAGAGGCGGGTATGATAGTCTCACCTCTGAGAAGGTAACAGCAGTATCCATTGACTACTGTGAAGGGAGGCCTGGTAAATTTTGGATGTGATTTGGTTTCCCATATTGCTAGATACATACTATGTATTTTTGTGTTCCAGCTTGTACATTCCAGGAGGTCCCCGACATATACTGGGAACACACCCACTGAATATATGGTTCACACAAATATTAAGCAGGAAACCTACGGAAATCCAGGAAAAACTATTCCATCATTACACTACTCTGCCTTATATGGTGCTCTGTTGGCTAAGATTGACCCTAAATTGAAGACGCTAAGTGTTTTTAAACATGATTTTATTTTTTTCATATGTACACCGTGCTCATGTTTAACCTCCCCATGATCTATGTGATCAAATAAAGTATTGTTAAATTCATTTGAATTCATACTACTCCGGCGTGGATCTTTTAGAAACCTTCTTTTTCAGATAGGCGTGTTCTTGTCACACTATCATATTGTTTAGTATGCTGTCCCCTGGGTTTATGTATCCACACTTGTATAAGTGAGTCGGAGAGGTGTTTATGACATTAACAATTAGTGTCATTTTTGGTGGCTTGCTTTTGCTTTATTGTTGTAAAGTTTTTTTAAGCAAGAGCTTTGTGTTTTTTGTTAGAGCAGCTTGAATTCAACCATGAGCATGCAAGTTGGTGAACACGTGGTTGGTGTACATTTTCATTTGGTAATTGCAGTCCCTTGTGGCTAGCATTTATTTACAAAGGCATAGTTGTGTTATATAAATTTTCAGAACTCATGAGCACACTAAACACCCAACGAAACACTGTTTCTTGGTGCATTAGATATGAAAATAACAGAGTACTAGACTTAAGGACATATACTGGCAGCTGCTTGCAGCAAAACTGCCATGTCCTAATCTGAATTATTTATGTGGATTTAGCAGAATGATACAAGTTTGATATACTGTCAAGACTCCATATTTTTGAACATTTGCTAGGCAATCACTAAGCCAGTGATTCTGTCAGTGTCCTACTTTTTGTATTTGTAATTTTGGAAGGACACTATCTGACAAATACTTTTGGGGCTCTACTGCATAATCTTCTTTAACAGGTACAAAATTGTTTTATTCACAGTCATTTTGGCACATACAGGTTTTGTCATACCAGTTTGCTTGGTTGATGGAAACTTATACTGGGCAATATATGCATATTTAACAGCCTTAATGGCGCCTTTTCATAAATGTGCATTGTAGATACATTGCCTAATCTTTCTTAAAAATGTAGGTGGCAGTTGGTCTTTATGGGGGAAACAACAGCTCTACAGGGCAATTCAATGTTACCATGGTTTTTAACAAGTACAACTGCTGAAAACAATTAAAGCAATACTTTGAAAAACATATCAGATCTCAATGGGGAAAATATCATGCTGGATATCTATACTGAAATGGACTGGGTTAATGCGTTAAGAACGTGAAGATGTCCCATCACTTGATGGAAATTAAAATTGTCAACCTACAGAGGACTGGATTCAAAGACACCCTGAAAATCAAAGTGAAAAAATGATGCAGCAGGCTAGTCCATTTTGCTGAAATTTCATTGCAGCACATCAAAATGGTACTCACTAGTTTGTATGGCCCCCACGTGCTTGTATGCATGTCTGACAATATCAGGGCATACTCCTAATGAGGAAAACAGACGGTGTCCTGGGGTATTTCCTTCCAGATCTGGACCAGGGCATCACTGAACTCCAGGACAGTCTGAGCCGCAACCTGGCGGTGTCACATGAACGGAAACATGATATCCCAGAGGTGTTCTTTTGGATTTAGATCAGGAGAGCATGGGGGCCATTCAATGGTATACATTTCTTCATCCTCTAGCAACTGCCTGCATGCTCTCGCCACATGAGGCCGGGCATTGTCATGCACCAGGAGGAACAGAGGACACACTGCACCAGTGTAGGGTCTGACAATGGGTCCAAGGATTTTATCCAGATACCACCAAAATGGTCATGCTGAACGATGTTAGAGGCAGCATAACATTCTCCACGGCTTCTCCAGACCCTTTCACGTCTGTCACATGTGCTCAGGGTGAACCTGCTCTCATCTGTGAAAAGCACAGGGCGCAGGTGGCGGACCTGCCAATTCTGGTGTTCAATGGCAAATGCCAATCAAGCTCTATAGTGCTTGGCAGTGATCACAGGGCCCACTAAAGGATGTGGGGCCCTCAGGCCACCTTTATGAAGTCTGTTTCGGATTGTTTGGTCAGAGACATTCACACCAGTGGCCTGCTAGAGGTCATTTTGTAGGGCTCTGGCAGTGCTCATCCTGTTCCTCCTTGCACAATGGGGAGCAGATACCGGTCCTGCTGATGGGTTAAGGACATTCTATGGCCCTGTCCAGCTCTCCTAGAGTAACTGTCTGTCTCCTGGAATTTCCTCCATGCTCTTGAGACTGTGCTGGGAGACACTTACCAGATCAATATCCCAAGAGTTTAATTGACTTGGCACTATACTCTGATTAAAAAGTGTTCCTTTAAATTTTTTGAGCAGTGTATATTCTTGGTTCTGTATAATGTATATTACATAATAGCAAAAATATAAAGGACAGCTTTAGATTTATTTTCTTTTTAAAAAAAAATTAGTAATATGAACTTTAACTTTTTGTTTTTTCTGAGTGCATCTGTTACATATTCACATGATTTCTGAGCAATAAGCACAGTTTTTTCATTATATAAAGGAATTATTAATTTGATTACACACAAAAAAAAAAAACATTATTCTGAGCTCAAGTATGTTACGAGTCAATTTAGAAGAGAAAACAAAAGGTGACAGGCTTCCTTGCTACCTTCAGCAAATATATGCTAAGCCAGGTGCATCTCAAGCCTTGCTGCTCTCTTTAGTATGGGGGAAACTGAATGAAAGAACAAAAGAAGGGCACAACAGCCTTGTGCATTATCTTAGGTACCATTTATTTGAATATATAAAAACAATGCAATATGCTCACAAATAGAGATGAGCGAATTATTCAAAAATTCGATTCGGCTGATTCGGCGAATTCGCGGAATAAATTCGATTCGAGTCGAATATATTTGCTGCAAATTTAACATATAAAAAGGGTGTTTCTAGGCTTCAGAGAACCTTTATATTAGTGCAGAACACTGTACCTTTAATTTAAATGCCCTTGGAGTCTGCTGGGGAAGAGAAATAATACTGTCAGTCAGTATGACATGCAGATGAGTGCCGTCGATCTTAGAATCACCACACACTTCACTCATTTGGGCAGTCACGGGGCCAAAACCAGAGTGTGGAGCCACAGTGTGGCGGTGGAGGCAGCAGCAATGGGAGGCCATACAGCACCCTATGAAAAAATGGAACCCACCAGCAGTGTGAGGAGACCTGAAAGTGGCACATGGCAGAGTGTGGCGATGGAGACAGCAGCAATGGGAGGCCGTACAGGGACCCATGACACACTCTGGACCTGGCAGCAGCATGAGGAGGCGGTACAGGGGCCCATGACAGATTACGGGCCTGGCAGCAGCATGAGGAGTCGGTACGGGGGCCCATGGCAGTTTACGGGCCTGGCAGCAGCAATGGGAGGCCGTACAGGGACCCATGACACACTCTGGACCTGGCAGCAGCATGAGGAGGCGCGGTACAGGGGCCCATGACAGATTACGGGCCTGGCAGCAGCATGAGGAGTCGGTACGGGGCCCATGGCAGATTACGGGCCTGGCAGCAGCAATGGGAGGCCCGTAATCTGCCAGCACCCTATGACAAAATGGAACCCACCAGCAGTGTGAGGAGACCTGAAAGGGGCACATGGCAGAGTGTGGCGATGGAGACAGCAGCAATGGGAGGCCGTACAGGGACCCATGACACACTCTGGACCTGGCAGCAGCATGAGGAGGCGGTACAGGGGCCCATGACAGATTACGGGCCTGGCAGCAGCATGAGGAGTTGGTACGGGGGCCCATGGCAGATTACGCACCTGGCAGCAGCAATGGGAGGCCCGTAATCTGCCAGCACCCTATGACAAAATGGAACCCACCAGCAGTGTGAGGAGACCTGAAAGTGGCACATGGCAGAGTGTGGCGATGGAGACAGCAGCAATGGGAGGCCGTACAGGGACCCATGACACACTCTGGACCTGGCAGCAGCATGAGGAGGCGGCACAGGGGCCCATGACAGATTACGGGCCTGGCAGCAGCATGAGGAGTCGGTACGGGGGCCCATGGCAGATTACGGGCCTGGCAGCAGCAATGGGAGGCCCGTAAATCTGCCCCTCCCCCCCCCCCCCCCCCCCCCCCCCCAGCACCCCTCTGACAAAATGGAACCCACCAGCAGTGTGAGGAGACCTGAAAGTGGCACATGGCAGAGTGTGGCGATGGAGACAGCAGCAATGGGAGGCCGTACAGGGACCCATGACACACTCTGGACCTGGCAGCAGCAAGAGGAGGCGGTACAGGGGCCCATGGCAGAGTGGCGAAGCGTAAGCAGCTTAAATTGAAGGCCATACAGAGGCCTATGTTAAAAATAATAACATGTTTTGGGGCATGATTCATGGCGGATTTAGTCAGTTGTGTCAGTAACTGGTGGTTTGAAATCCAGACTAATCCACGCCTGATTCATTTTCACAAACGTGAGTCTCTCCACACTTTGGGTGGACAGTCGTGTCCTCCGCGGAGTTACAATACCTCCTGCCGCACTAAACACGCGCTCCGATGCCATGCTACTGGCCGGGCATGACAGCCTTTCAAGGGCAAATTCAGCTAGTTGGGGCCAAAGGTCAAGTTTCGTTGCCCAGTAGTCAAGGGGATTGTCTACCTCGGTTGGCAGGGTGCTGTCCAAGTAGGCCCAAGCCTGTTGTTTGAGGTCCTGCTCCAGGTCCACCTGATGCTGCTGCTGCTGCGGCTGGTTAGTAGTTTCCTCACTGCGCTGGTGAAGAAAGCTACTCATCATCGACTGCAGACTGAGGCAGCCGCTGCTGGTGGAGCTGCCACTGCTCCTACCACCCCACCCCTCCCCTGCTGCCATGGCAGCGGAACGCGAGCGCACAGGGCCCACAGTGTCTGAGGGTGGACGTTGGCGCAGCAGAAAGGCAGAGACCAACTGACTACATAGGTGGTTTTTATAGTACGTTATTTTTGGGCCTCCCTCTCAGCAGGTGTGAAAAAGGCCACCATTTTTGAACGGTAGCGAGGGTCCAACAAGGTGGACAGCCAAAAGTCATCCCTCTGTCTGATGGTTATTATTCGGCTGTCGCTACGCAAGCAACCGAGCATGCTATGGGCCATTTGTGCCAAGGAATGCGAGGGACTCCCTGCCTCCATCTCCACAGCAAACTGCCACGGTGCGTCTGGGTCCTCTGTCTCCTCCTCCTCTACCAGATGCTCCTGCTCCTCCACTCCTGTCCGCTGAGTGGAAAAACCACCCATTTCACTCAATAATTCCTGAGCACCAATGTCCTCCTCTACCTCCTCCTCTTCTTCCTGTCCTGCCCCCACAGGGGTCATGTGGCTGTTGAGATCTGTGCGCCACGTCTACCGCACCCTGACCAGCCATTGTTAACAGCATTTGTTCCAGGACGTGCAACAGAGGAATGACGTCGTTTCATCCCATAGTCCTGCCGACTCACGAATAGCGTGGCCTCCTCAAAGGGCCTGAGCAAACGGCAGGTGTCACGCATGAGCTGCCAATGGCTGACATCTAAGTTACACAGGGGAGTACCTTTATCCGCTTGTAACATCAGGAAATCGGTGATGGCCCTTTCGCTGTTCGTAAAGGCGGTCTAACATATGTAGGGTTGAATTCCACCTTGTTGCAACGTCACAGCATGAGGAGTCGGTACGGGGGCCCATGGCAGATTACGCACCTGGCAGCAGCAATGGGAGGCCCGTAATCTGCCAGCACCCTATGACAAAATGGAACCCACCAGCAGTGTGAGGAGACCTGAAAGTGGCACATGGCAGAGTGTGGCGATGGAGACAGCAGCAATGGGAGGCCGTACAGGGACCCATGACACACTCTGGACCTGGCAGCAGCATGAGGAGGCGGCACAGGGGCCCATGACAGATTACGGGCCTGGCAGCAGCATGAGGAGTCGGTACGGGGGCCCATGGCAGATTACGGGCCTGGCAGCAGCAATGGGAGGCCCGTAATCTGCCAGCACCCTCTGACAAAATGGAACCCACCAGCAGTGTGAGGAGACCTGAAAGTGGCACATGGCAGAGTGTGGCGATGGAGACAGCAGCAATGGGAGGCCGTACAGGGACCCATGACACACTCTGGACCTGGCAGCAGCAAGAGGAGGCGGTACAGGGGCCCATGGCAGAGTGGCGAAGCGTAAGCAGCTTAAATTGAAGGCCATACAGAGGCCTATGTTAAAAATAATAACATGTTTGGGGCATGATTCATGGCGGATTTAGTCAGTTGTGTCAGGAACTGGTGGTTTGAAATCCAGACTAATCCACGCCTGATTCATTTTCACAAACGTGAGTCTCTCCACACTTTGGGTGGACAGTCGTGTCCTCCGCGGAGTTACAATACCTCCTGCCGCACTAAACACGCGCTCCGATGCCATGCTACTGGCCGGGCATGACAGCCTTTCAAGGGCAAATTCAGCTAGTTGGGGCCAAAGGTCAAGTTTCGTTGCCCAGTAGTCAAGGGGATTGTCTACCTCGGTTGGCAGGGTGCTGTCCAAGTAGGCCCAAGCCTGTTGTTTGAGGTCCTGCTCCAGGTCCACCTGATGCTGCTGCTGCTGCGGCTGGTTAGTAGTTTCCTCACTGCGCTGGTGAAGAAAGCTACTCATCATCGACTGCAGACTGAGGCAGCCGCTGCTGGTGGAGCTGCCACTGCTCCTACCACCCCACCCCTCCCCTGCTGCCATGGCAGCGGAACGCGAGCGCACAGGGCCCACAGTGTCTGAGGATGGACGTTGGCGCAGAAAGGCAGAGACCAACTGACTACATAGGTGGTTTTTATAGTACGTTATTTTGGCCTCCCTCTCAGCAGGTGTGAAAAAGGCCACCATTTTTGAACGGTAGCGAGGGTCCAACAAGGTGGACAGCCAAAAGTCATCCCTCTGTCTGATGGTTATTATTCGGCTGTCGCTACGCAAGCAAACCGAGCATGCTATGGGCCATTTGTGCCAAGGAATGCGAGGGACTCCCTGCCTCCATCTCCACAGCATACTGCCACGGTGCGTCTGGGTCCTCTGTCTCCTCCTCCTCTACCAGATGCTCCTGCTCCTCCACTCCTGTCCGCTGAGTGGAAAAACCACCCATTTCACTCAATAATTCCTGAGCACCAATGTCCTCCTCTACCTCCTCCTCTTCTTCCTGTCCTGCCCCCACAGGGGTCATGTGGCGTTGAGATCTGTGCGCCACGTCTACCGCACCCTGACCAGCCATTGTTAACAGCATTTGTTCCAGGACGTGCAACAGAGGAATGACGTCGTTCATCCCATAGTCCTGCCGACTCACGAATAGCGTGGCCTCCTCAAAGGGCCTGAGCAAGCGGCAGGTGTCACGCATGAGCTGCCAATGGCTGACATCTAAGTTACACAGGGGAGTACCTTTATCCGCTTGTAACATCAGGAAATCGGTGATGGCCTTTCGCTGTTCGTAAAGGCGGTCTAACATATGTAGGGTTGAATTCCACCTTGTTGCAACGTCACAGCATGAGGAGTCGGTACGGGGGCCCATGGCAGATTACGGGCCTGGCAGCAGCAATGGGAGGCCCGTAATCTGCCAGCACCCTATGACAAAATGGAACCCACCAGCAGTGTGAGGAGACCTGAAAGTGGCACATGGCAGAGTGTGGCGATGGAGACAGCAGCAATGGGAGGCCGTACAGGGACCCATGACACACTCTGGACCTGGCAGCAGCATGAGGAGGCGGTACAGGGGCCCATGACAGATTACGGGCCTGGCAGCAGCATGAGGAGTCGGTACGGGGGCCCATGGCAGATTACGGGCCTGGCAGCAGCAATGGGAGGCCCGTAATCTGCCAGCACCCTCTGACAAAATGGAACCCACCAGCAGTGTGAGGAGACCTGAAAGTGGCACATGGCAGAGTGTGGCGATGGAGACAGCAGCAATGGGAGGCCGTACAGGGACCCATGACACACTCTGGACCTGGCAGCAGCAAGAGGAGGCGGTACAGGGGCCCATGGCAGAGTGGCGAAGCGTAAGCAGCTTAAATTGAAGGCCATACAGAGGCCTATGTTAAAAATAATAACATGTTTGGGGCATGATTCATGGCGGATTTAGTCAGTTGTGTCAGGAACTGGTGGTTTGAAATCCAGACTAATCCACGCCTGATCATTTTCACAAACGTGAGTCTCTCCACACTTTGGGTGGACAGTCGTGTCCTCCGCGGAGTTACAATACCTCCTGCCGCACTAAACACGCGCTTCGATGCCATGCTACTGGCCGGGCATGACAGCCTTTCAAGGGCAAATTCAGCTAGTTGGGGCCAAAGGTCAAGTTTCGTTGCCCAGTAGTCAAGGGGATTGTCTACCTCGGTTGGCAGGGTGCTGTCCAAGTAGGCCCAAGCCTGTTGTTTGAGGTCCTGCTCCAGGTCCACCTGATGCTGCTGCTGCTGCGGCTGGTTAGTAGTTTCCTCACTGCGCTGGTGAAGAAAGCTACTCATCATCGACTGCAGACTGAGGCAGCCGCTGCTGGTGGAGCTGCCACTGCTCCTACCACCCCACCCCTCCCCTGCTGCCATGGCAGCGGAACGCGAGCGCACAGGGCCCACAGTGTCTGAGGATGGACGTTGGCGCAGAAAGGCAGAGACCAACTGACTACATAGGTGGTTTTTATAGTACGTTATTTTGGCCTCCCTCTCAGCAGGTGTGAAAAAGGCCACCATTTTTGAACGGTAGCGAGGGTCCAACAAGGTGGACAGCCAAAAGTCATCCCTCTGTCTGATGGTTATTATTCGGCTGTCGCTACGCAAGCAACCGAGCATGCTATGGGCCATTTGTGCCAAGGAATGCGAGGGACTCCCTGACTCCATCTCCACAGCATACTGCCACGGTGCGTCTGGGTCCTCTGTCTCCTCCTCCTCTACCAGATGCTCCTGCTCCTCCACTCCTGTCCGCTGAGTGGAAAAACCACCCATTTCACTCAATAATTCCTGAGCACCAATGTCCTCCTCTACCTCCTCCTCTTCTTCCTGTCCTGCCCCCACAGGGGTCATGTGGCGTTGAGATCTGTGCGCCACGTCTACCGCACCCTGACCAGCCATTGTTAACAGCATTTGTTCCAGGACGTGCAACAGAGGAATGACGTCGTTCATCCCATAGTCCTGCCGACTCACGAATAGCGTGGCCTCCTCAAAGGGCCTGAGCAAGCGGCAGGTGTCACGCATGAGCTGCCAATCGCTGACATCTAAGTTACACAGGGGAGTACCTTTATCCGCTTGTGTAACATCAGGAAATCGGTGATGGCCTTTCGCTGTTCGTAAAGGCGGTCTAACATATGTAGGGTTGAATTCCACCTTGTTGCAACGTCACAGCATGAGGAGTCGGTACGGGGGCCCATGGCAGATTACGGGCCTGGCAGCAGCAATGGGAGGCCCGTAATCTGCCAGCACCCTATGACAAAATGGAACCCACCAGCAGTGTGAGGAGACCTGAAAGGGGCACATGGCAGAGTGTGGCGATGGAGACAGCAGCAATGGGAGGCCGTACAGGGACCCATGACACACTCTGGACCTGGCAGCAGCATGAGGAGGCGGCACAGGGGCCCATGACAGATTACGGGCCTGGCAGCAGCATGAGGAGTCGGTACGGGGGCCCATGGCAGATTACGGGCCTGGCAGCAGCAATGGGAGGCCCGTAATCTGCCAGCACCCTATGACAAAATGGAACCCACCAGCAGTGTGAGGAGACCTGAAAGTGGCACATGGCAGAGTGTGGCGATGGAGACAGCAGCAATGGGAGGCCGTACAGGGACCCATGACACACTCTGGACCTGGCAGCAGCATGAGGAGGCGGTACAGGGGCCCATGACAGATTACGGGCCTGGCAGCAGCATGAGGAGTCGGTACGGGGGCCCATGGCAGATTACGGGCCTGGCAGCAGCAATGGGAGGCCCAAAATCTGCCAGCACCCTATGACAAAATGGAACCCACCAGCAGTGTGAGGAGACCTGAAAGTGGCACATGGCAGAGTGTGGCGATGGAGACAGCAGAAATGGGAGGCCGTACAGGGACCCATGACACACTCAGGACCTGGCAGCAGCATGAGGAGGCGGTACAGGGGCCCATGACAGATTATGGGCCTGGCAGCAGCATGAGGAGTCGGTACGGGGGCCCCCATGGCAGATTATGGGCCTGGCAGCAGCAATGGGAGGCCCGTAATCTGCCAGCACCCTATGACAAAATGGAACCCACCAGCAGTGTGAGGAGACCTGAAAGTGGCACATGGCAGAGTGTGGCGATGGAGACAGCAGCAATGGGAGGCCGTACAGGGACCCATGACACACTCTGGACCTGGCAGCAGCATGAGGAGGCGGTACAGGGGCCCATGACAGATTACGGGCCTGGCAGCAGCATGAGGAGTCGGTACGGGGGCCCATGGCAGATTACGGGCCTGGCAGATGACGACGAGGCTGCCAAGTGCGATCAGCCTCATCATCATCAATTAGGGTCTCCGCCTCACTACTAGCCCCCTCGGCTGCGTGTGGGTCAGGAGACAGACCTGTCTCTAGACCGGCTACCGAGCCACTCTCCTCGCCAGTACTTCTTCGCCTGGCTGCTGAAGAGGCGGATGTCTCCCCCCGTTCCTGACCGCCCTCTGTTAGCTCTTCCTCACTGTACAGTGGGGCTGAGCCCACAGCATGCGATACTTTGCTTGGTGAGGGAACACCAAAGGACAGGGGCAGGTAGAGGACACGTGATTTCAGTGGGCTTGCTCCCGGGCCATGCCAACTAACGGTTGTGTCTGACGTACCCACTGACCGTTGGCTGTAGGTGTCAGAGGTGACCTGGGAAGAGGAAGACGACCGAGCCAACCACGATGATGGCAGGGTTGTCGGTGGAGACACGACCGCTGGATGACACCGGGAGCACTGGCCTCTGGCTGCGACTAGTGCTGCCTCGACCCCTTCCTCTGCTGCCACGTCTGCTCGCTCCTGAAACATTGCCTCCTCTGCCACTCCTCTGCGTGTTGTCTGACATACTCTTTAATTCAACGATTCTGTGTCCCTGAGTAACGATTCTGTGTCCTGAGTAACAATTCTGTGTCCCTGAGTAACTATTCTGTGTCCCTGAGTAACAATTCTGTGTCCCTGAGTAACAATTCTGTGTCCCTCAGTAACGATTCTGTGTCGCTCAGTAACAATTCTGTGTCCCTGAGTAACAATTCTGTGTCCCTGAGTAACAATTCTGTGTCCCTGAGTAATGATTCTGTGTCCCTCAGTAACAATTCTGTGTCCCTGAGTAACGATTCTGTGTCCCTCAGTAACGATTCTGTGTCCCTCAGTAACGATTCTGTGTCCCTGAGTAACAATTCTGTGTCCCTGAGTAACAATTCTGTGTCTGTCCCTGAGTAACAGTTCTGTGTCCCTGAGTAACGATTCTGTGTCCCTGAGTAACGATTCTGTGTCCCTCAGTAACGATTCTGTGTCCCTCAGTAACAATTCTGTGTCCCTGAGTAACAATTCTGTGTCTGTCCCTGAGTATCGATTGTGTCCCTGAGTAACAATTCTGTGTCCCTGAGTAACAATTCTGTGTCCCTGAGTAACGATTCTGTGTCCCTAAGTAACGATTCTGTGGCCCTAAAGTCTCTGTGGCCCTAATTCTGTCCCTAATACACAGAGGTCTGTCTCTTTTGAATGACCGGAGGCTAATGGAGAATTCTAAGATGGCCGCAATTTATAGCTCCACCATTACACAGTGCTGGCTGGCTGGCTGCTGATTGGCTAATGCGATCACATGTCATGAATGAATGCATTATGGGTCAGCGCGCCTTGTCTGCGCGCCTTCCCAGAGATCCCCGCTCCGTCGCCACACATGTTGCCGCCATTTTTGGGAAAATTCGATTCGTGCATCTGAAGTTTGCTAATTTTCGGATTCGGCGCGAATCGAATTTTTCCTGATCTTCGAAACGAATTCCACTTCGCCATGTTCGATTCGCTCATCTCTACTCACAAACCATTTTGGTATCAGGCTTAAACTCCAACAAGAGACTTGAAACACAAGTCTAGTTTAGTAAAGCAGCCTCCTTGGTGTAAGCAGAAGCCGTTTTCTTAAACATCAGTAACGTCTTGGTGAAAATACAACAAAATTATATTTTCCTTTCATTTTTAAAACATTATCTACCTTTATGTATAATTCATGTGGTGCATGCAATTTTATATGGAAAAAGTAGTGAGACATGCTAACTACTTGATAATTATTTGCTTGTAGACATCTAACCTCACACTCACAGACTTAGATTCCCACAACAGACAGATGTCAAGACTGTTCCAATTAAGAAATTATATTTAAAGTGGGTTTCCAGCTGAAAAAATAAAAATAAAAATCAGCAGCTACAAAAACTGTAGCTGCTGACTTTTAAAATACAGACACTTACCTGTCCCTCGGTCCAGCTGTGTCCTCACAACAGCTGGTTTCCCTGGCCATCTTCTCTCCACAGCGCCGACATCTTCAGTGTGGGCACCTGGCTGTGACAGCTTGCGGCTTCTCAGCCGGGTGCCCACTGTGCATGCGTGAGAAACGCTGCGCTTTGTGAATGGCCCCATAGTCTTCTGAGACCTGTCACAGAAGACTACAGGAAGAGAGGGGGGGGGGGACAACTTCCACTGCTGATCATAGCAGAAGTGGGAGCGGGTACCTGTCAAGTTCAGGTACCTGCTTCCCCCACTCCCCAAAGGTGCCAATCCTTAATGGGGAGCGGGGAAACTTCCTATTTTGGGTGGAGCTCTGCATTAAATGGTTTGCATATGGGGAGCTGGCTCAAGAGGCACTAGTTTTTCTTTGCTTTACAAATCCTCAATTTAATACTTGATACTATCATTGAAATATTTTTTTCTCATGATACTTGAAAATAAAGTAAATACAGCATCACTTGAACATGTGGCTGCATTACAGAAATTAAACAAACATAAGAGAAAACAAAGCATAAAAATGAAACTATTGGTAAAACACATATTTTCAAATTATGGATGTGTTTACCTTTTTAAAATAATGTTATTTAGTTGTAATAGGAACATATAAAATGTACATACAGTTGTGTTCAAAATAATAGCAGTGTGTTGAAAAAAGTGAATAAAGCTCAAAATCCTTCTAATAGATTTTATTTCCATACACACAAATGCATTGGGAACACTACACATTCTATTCCAAGTCAAAACATGAAGAAAAATATATCAAATTTGTGTTGTTCCTAAAAAAATTGAAGAAAAGTGAATATTAGACTGTTCAAAATATAGCAGTGTTTGTATTCTTCTTTACAAACTCAAACATTCACTATATAAACTGAAAAATGTTTGAAGATTTTGTTTTCCTTTGAATCACTTAATGAATATTTAGTTGTATAAGCACTGTTTCTGAGAACTGCTGTACATCTGTGTTGCATGGAGTCAACCAACTTCTGGTACCCGTGAACAGGTATTCCAGCCTAGGATGATTGGACTACATTCCACAGTTCTTCTCTATTTCTTGGTTTTGCCTCAGAAACTGCATTTTTAATATCACCCCACAAGTTTTCTATTGGATTAAGATCCGGGGATTGGGCTGGCCACTCCATAACGTCAATCTTGTTGGTCTGGAACCAAGATGTTGCACGTTTACTGGTGTGTTTGGGGTCGTTGTCTTGTTGGAACACCCATTTCAAGAGCATTTCCTCTTCAACATAAGGCAGCATGACCTCTTCAAGTATTCTGATGTATTCAAACTGATCCATGATCCCTGGTATGCGATAAATAGGCCCAGCACCGTAGTATGATAAACATTCCCATATCATGATGCTTGCGCAACCATGCTTCACTGTCTTCACAGTGTACTGTGACTTGAATTCAGTGTTTGGGGATCGTCTGGCAAACTGTCTCCGGCCACTAGACCCAAAAAGAACAATCCTACTTTCATCAGTCCACAAAATGTTGCGCCATTTCTCTTTAGGCCAGTCAATGTGCTCTTTGGCAAATTGTAACCTCTTCAGCACATGTATTTTTTTCAACAATGGGACTTTGTGGGGGCTTCTTGCAGATAGCTTGGCTTCACATAGGCAGCTTCTAATTGTAACAGTACTCACAGGTAACTTTAGACCTTCTTTGATCTTCCTGGAGCTGATTGTTGGCTGAGTCCTTGCCATTTTAGCTATTTTTCTATCCATTCGAATGGTAGTTTTTCGCTTTCTTCCACATCTTTCAGGTTTTGGTTGCCATTTTAAAGCATTTGTGATCATTTTAGCTGAGCAGCCTATCATTTTCTGCACTTCTTTATATGTTTCCCCCTGTCCAATCAACTTTTTAATCAAGGTACGCTGTTCTTCTGAACAATGTCTGGAACGACCCATTTTCCTCAGAATTTCAGAGAGAAATGCACTGTAACCAGCATGTACAACATTTGCTGCCTTCCTTCCTTAAATAAGGGCAATAATTGCCACCTGTTTTTCAAAGAATGAATGACCTCACTAATAGAACTCCACACTGCTATTATTTTGAACATGCCCCATTCAATTAGAGTTCAATTACACAGAATCAGCAGCATGCATGTCATGACTGTTGGGTCTGTTGGATTTCTATTACTCTATTACACCTGCTAGTAAATTATTTGCTATGTAGAAATATAATTTCTACCAAAAACAGTGATTGATCAGGTTAGTGATTTCTGACTGCTATTATTTTGAACACAACTGTATATTATGTATTTAAAGATAATCTGTAATGAAAGAACAGATCTCCTTGAGTGTTACATTTAATGTGTACAAATTAGATTGCACATTTCACCAAAGAGTAAAATGTAGGCATTTTTATTGTATATAATTTTCTTTTACAAAGTGTTTATTAAAATTTAAAAAAAGTAACATACAGACAGCAAATTACAATGGTGCTGAAAGTAGTGGATACCAATAAGACAATAGGAAAAATATTAAACAGGCCAACTACCACAACAAAACTGTCACAACTAGGATATGAGCGCTTAAGCACACATAAAGGCACTGAACTACCAGAGATCTACATTTCATGCATGATCAAAGCCACCCAAAACTTGGAAGGAGAGGGTGGCCATGTTCTCCATACAAGCCAGCAAAAAAAACAGAGGCAATGGAGGCCCAAAAACAAAAAATAATTGGTAGGATGGAGAATAAAAAGAAATAAATAAAGAGAAGAGAAGAAGGAGGGGGGGAAACCTGCAGGATACAACTGTTGATCCGTGATGGCGAGCCAAATTAATATCAAGTCGAGAGCAAGGAGTGGTCCAGGTTCAAACTGTCATGACAGGCCATCCGTGGATCCCTAACCTTCAGATACTGAGCATGTGTTTAATTCAAAGTAGAGGTGAGCTTCTCGTGGACCATGCCCCCATGAGGAGAATTTTAACCTCAGGTGGAGATATTGCTGATGCCAGGCTT